GAACCTACTAATGATGGAAGTAGTAAATAAGAAAATACTTAAACTCCTAGAAGTGGGAATCATCTTCGCCATCTCAGACAGTCCCTGGGTGAGCCCAGTGCAAGTGGTCCCGAAAAAGGCAGGAGTAACCGTAGAAGAGAACCAGGAGGGCGAGATGGTCCCAATGAGGAAACCCACAGGATGACGTCAGTGCATTGACTACCGACGTCTGAATGCCGTGACGAAGAAGGACCACTTCCCTCTATCTTTTATTGATCAGATGATAGAGAGGTTAGTTGGTCGTGTCTATTACTGCTTTTTTAACGGTTTCTCAGGTTATTTTTAGATCGCGATAGTACCGGAAGATCAGGAGAAAACTACCTTCACTTGCCCCTTTGGTACATTTGCCTGCAATGCCCCGACGACTTTTCAGAGGTGCATGGTGAGTATCTTTTCCGAATATGTAGAAAAGATTATTGAGGTGTTCATGGACGATTTTAGTGTATATAGGGATAGTTTTGATGAATGTCTTGATAACTTAGCTTTGATTTTGAAAAGATGCATAGAAACGAATTTAGTTCTTAATTGAAAAAAATGTCATTTTATGGTGGAGCATGGTATTGTTTTAGGGCATGTAGTGTCGGCTACGGGTATAGAAGTGGATAAAGTAAAGGTCGATATTATTTCTGCTTTACCTTACACCGTGAATGTACGGGAAGTGCGTTCCTTTTTGGGTCATGCAGGGTTCTACAGGAGATTCATCAGAGATTTCTCAAAAATTGGAGCACCCCTGTTCAAACTGTTGCAAAAGGATGTAGCATTTGACTTCACCAAGGAGTGCAGGGTGGCATTTGACAGGTTGAAGGAGTCATTGACATCGCCACCTGTTATCCAACCTCTAGACTGGAGTCTCCCATTTGAAATAATGTGTGATGCAAGTGACTATGCAGTGGGAGCGGTGTTAGGGCAACGGATGGGCAGGGCGGCTCATGCAATCTACTATGCATCAAAGGCATTGAATGGAACTCAACTCAACTATTCTACAACGGAAAAAGAATTATTAGCTGTGATTTTTGTATTAGAAAAATTTAGACCTTATTTGTTAGTGCAAAAGTAACAGTTTTCTCTGATCATGCAGCCTTAAGGTACTTGATGACAAAGAGGGATGCAAAATCGAGGCTTATCAGATGGATCCTGCTCCTACAAGAGTTCAACTTAGAGATAAAAGATAAAAGTGGAGCAGAGAATTTGGTTGCCGATCATTTAAGCCGTTTGCTGACACATAAGGAAGAGCAACCATTGAGGGAGACATTCCTAGAGGAGCAACTTCTTGCCGTTGATTCGTCAACACCCTGGTATGTCGATATAGTAAATTTCTTAGTGACTAATCAATTGCCTGCAGGTTGGCCAAAGGCGAGGAGAGACAAATTGAAAAATAATGCCAAATACTACATTTGGGACGACCCCTACCTTTGGAGACAATGTTTGGATCAAGTGCTAAGAAGGTGTGTAAGTGCAGGTGAATTTCACTCCATTTTAAATTTCTGTCATTCGTTTGCATGTGGAGGGCATTTTGGGCCCAAACGAACAGCTCGCAAAGTGTTGGAGAGTGGCTTTTACTGGCCCACCCTCTTTAAAGATTCGTACTTATTTTGCAAATCCTGTGATAGGTGTCAATGGATAGGAAATATTTTTCGTAAGGACCAAATGCTTCAAACCCCCATGTTGTTTGTTGAAATTTTTGATGTTTGGGGGATAGATTTTATGGGTCCTTTTCCCTCATCTTTTGGTTTCCTGTATATTTTACTTGCGGTTGATTATGTTTCTAAATGGGTGAAAGCCAGAGCCACCCATACTAATGATTCTAAAGTGGTTGCAGAATTCTTAAAATCTAATATTTTTGTCCGTTTTGGAATGCCAAGAGCTGTGGTAAGTGATAGGGGGATACATTTTTGTAATAAGACCATCACTACCCTATTCCGAAAATATGGCGTGCTCCACAAGGTATCCGCACCGTATCACTCGCAGACAAATGGACAAGTCGAAGTGTCAAACAGGGAGATCAAATCAATCTTGGAGAAGATTGTGCGCCCAGATAGGAAGGATTGGAGTTTAAAATTAGAAGACGCACTATGGGCTTACAGAACCGCGTATAAGACACCTATTGGGATGTCCCCGTACAAACTTATCTTCGGTAAGGCTTGTCATCTCCCGGTGGAGTTCGAACACAAGGCGTTCTGAGCAGTGAAGCAATGTAACATGGATCTGGAAGAAGCAGGGGTTCAAAGGAAATTGCAGCTACAAGAATTGGAGGAGATTAGAAATGAAGCACATGAGAATGCCACGATCTACAAAGAAAAGAGTAAAATATTCCATGACCAGCAAGTTGCGAGGAAGTCTTTTGTAGTGGGGCAAAAGGTCCTCTTGTATCACTCGAGGCTTAAACTTTTTCCCGGTAAGTTGTGTTCTCACTGGATTGGTCCATTTGTTGTTCTAATGTGTTTCATTATGGTGCAGTGGAAATTCAATGTCTAAAAACGGAGAAGAAGTTCGTGGTGAATGGCCATCGTCTCAAACCTTATTATGAGGGGTTCTCTATTGAAGAAGTAGAAATTGTACACCTCCAAGATCCACTTTATCTTGCTTGAGGGTTTCAGCCATGTCTAATCAAAGACATTAAAGAAAGACGCTATTTGGGAGGCAACCCAAGACTATTTATTTTAGTTCTCGTACATTTTTGAAGTTTTAGTTAAATATTAGTGTCATTTAATAGTTTGATGTTTGGTGGCAGGAAATTGGCAGTTAGACGTGCCCATGCCAAGTGGTCACGTCTAAGGAAAAGAGTTGGAAGGCAACGGTCAGAAGACTCTATACCAGTTAAGCATGCCCACGCCAGGTGGTCACGTTTAAGGGAAGAAAATTTTCGTCCGCGGTCAGAAGACTCTACGATAGTTAGGCGTGCCCACGCCAGATGGTCACGCCTAAGGAACTCAATTTCTGGAGATTGGTCAGAAGACTCTGTAACAGTTAGGCGTGCCCACGCTAAGTGGTTACGCTTAAGGTTCAAAAATTTTGGACGACGGTCAGAAGACTAGAGGGCAATTAGGCGTACCCACGCCTAAGACTGGGGTTCTTTGTAAAAAAAAATAAAAATGTGAAAAGACCAAATTGCCCTTGAAAGAAAAAAAGAAGAAAAAAACCAAATTCAAGGGCCCGTAGCCCTACTTCTCCTCTTTCTTCCTTTTCTTCCTTTTCTTTCTTTTTCTCCTTCTTCTTCTTTTTTCTTGCTGTCTGCCGCCGCCCTACACCAAAGCCATGAACTGCCGCCGCCCATCGCACCGCTGCCCGCCGCGGACCTCGCCCCCTGTAGCCAGCCGCGTGAGATCCTCCCCCGTACGCCGCGCCTCCGACCGAGCTAGCAGCTCGCGCACCAGCGAGCCCAGCAGCTCCAACAGGCGCGCAGCCTAGGCACGCAGCTCAGGCGCGCAACCAGGCGCACAACCCAGGCGCGCGCTCGACCAACGCAGCAGCAGCAGCAGCCCGCGCGCCTCCAGCTGAGCTGTCGACGCGCGTCGCACCTTTCTCCTCCATGCCGCCTCTGCCTACTCAAAAACTCCGGTGATTTCTTTTTAAATTCCTATCACTTTAGCTGAGAACAGATTTTTAATTTCTTAGTTGATGCCAGATTTTTGATTTGCTAGCTGAGGACAGAAATTTTGTGATTGTGATTGGGTGTTATGACATATCTGTGGTTGATTGTTGATTATTGGGTAAATTTTGTGCTCAACCAGGGATATTTGGGGGAAGTTTTTACTTCGGCTGCTTATTTAATTAGTTTAAGGGAAAGTTGCTGTGTTTATCTAATTAATTGATTTTTGGGGGTTGAATTGGTAATATTCGAAAGAGTTTTGCTGTTTACACACTTAATTTATTTTTGAGTGAGTTTATTGCCTGCTTTTGCAATTGATTGTGATTGGGAGTTGTGATTGGGAATCATTTACTTTGGGGCCATTTGTGACTTCTTTTGAACACCATTACCTTGCCTTTGCCTTGTTAGCTGATGTCCAATGATTAAATCCAAAAACAAAGGCAAGATCAAACCTTCCACCTCCACCTCCCAGCCTACGGTCTCCTTGAGTGGACCTACCCCAGCGACTGGTCCGGGAGGGCCCCGGACCCGCCTTGGGCCGAATAGGGAGGTTCATATCTCCTCTCCGGCCCATTTCGGCGGTCATTTGACCTTCACCCGGGCTGCCGACAAGGAGCGGTACGCCTTGGCGTGCACAAGGAAGATAATTCCTTGTAAATACATCCACGGCCCTACACTTGATATGTTGAACCTTAGGGATGAGGTCACGCAGCATTTGGCCGACATAGGTTGGACTCGCTATGCTTCTATCATTCTACCTGCTTTTACTGAACTGACGTGGGAATTCTATGCTACTTTTGAGTTTAACATTCCCGATGAATTCTCCGTTACCACTCCTGGGATAGTGAGGTTTAGATTAATGGGTAGAGAGTTCACCCAATCTATCACTGAATTTAATTTGGCTCTTGGGTTCATTGACATTCCCTACTCCCAGAGTGAGGAATATATGCACAGTGTGTGCGAGTACACGGAGCCATTTTTCTCTCATAACATTGGTTATTGGAGAGATTTGTCAGTTGACCGACACAACTACGACCCCAGCCAGTCTAAGGCTTCTTTTCTTAAGAGTCCCGCCTACCGTTATTTATATAGATTTATGGCTTACAGTTTCTCGGGTAGGAAGGATAATTCGGGTATTTTGACCAAACCTGAGTTCTTTTTCATTTGGTGCATGGTTACTCGGACTAAGGTCAATTTGGGTTGCTAGTTTGCCCTCCACCTCTGCACCGTGTTAAATAAGAAAAATAAGCCAATAATCTTAGGCTCATTTATCACTCAATTGGCTGTAAATCTTAGGGTTTTGGACTTGAATAATCATAATTTGCATCGTGCTTGTACTATGGAACCCCTCGATTTAGTTTGTTTAGAGAAAATGGGTCTTGTGCAACAGGTGAATGGCGCTTTCCAGTTTGCTCCCCCGGGACCAATCTCTGTTCCTCCGAAGCGCAGAGCTTCCAAATCCACTGCCCCGGAGGCCGGTAGTCCTTCCACGGATGCCCTCGGACTGTCCTTTTCAGCGCCTCCACCGTCTTCCTCCGCCGATAGCCAGCTTGCAGCCCTTCGGTTCCAGATGCAGCACATGGACACTCGTATGGAGCGGATGGAGCATCAAATGGGCGGGATGGCTCAGAATTTAGCACAGTATCTCCATCACGTGGGTTTCCGCCTGCCTTTGCCTCCACAGCCGTAGTTCATTTCTGCCCTCCTCCGTTTTAAAAGAAGTGTCGTTGCCCCAATACTTCTGTTTTGATCTTTCTTTGCTTACATTGAGGGCAATGTAAGGTTTAGGTGTGGGGGAGGGTTAAGTATGCTTTAGTTGTGTTTTTAGTTGTCTGATTACATTTTTCTTTGCCTTAGTAGTTTTCTTCTTTAAACGGTGATGAATGCAATTGAGATATGAGTATAAGTAGTAAGTTCATGCTATGGGGTGTTTCATTTTTCCTCGATGATGTGTTGATTGATGAATATGCCAAACTTGACAAAAATTTGATCACTTGTGCAATTTTTGAGCCTAATTTTTCGTTTGTTGAGTGATTAGTGCACATGGTTTGTCATTCTAGAACTTGCTTAGTTATGTATGTCAAGACCACATTTAAATGAGTTTAATGCATTGAAATGATAGGGCACCTAGGATTGAGCCATCTTTGGACTGACTTAAAAAAAAAAAAAACCAACCCCTAGCTTATTTACCATTAGGGAGCCATGTTGAGTTTTAACCCTTATTCTTCGCTTAAGACTCTAGTTTTTAGCCGCACAACCTCTTTTTAGACTTTCTTTTTGAACCCCGTGTGAAGAAGTGCTTTGATTTCATTATATGGAAATTTGGAGTATTATTTGAGAGGCATTGCACATATCTAAGAAAAGGAAGAAAAAAAAAGAGAGAAAAAGAAAAAAATGTGAAAAGAAGACAAAGTGCAAGAAATCAACGAGTAAAGTTGACTTTTATGGTGTTGGTTGGGAGTTATACAAAAAAAAGAAAAAGAGAGAGAAAAAAAACAGAAAACAAAAAAAAAGAAAGAAAAAAAAAGGAGAGAGGAAGTAGATGAATGAAAAGAGGAGAAAGAAAAAAATCGAAGGTTGCGGCGAGGGCCAATTTTTACTTCACTTAGGGGATTGCTGAGGTGCTTTGAAGTCTCGAATATGCAAGAATCTGTGTAATGAATTTCTGAACACTTTCTTTATACTTTTACACCCTTTTGAATCCCTTTTATCCTACTTTCTCACCCTAACCCCATTACAACCTTGCAAAGTCCCTTGATTGTTGCATTTAATCTCATAAGTAAGCGGTGGCGATATGATATATGAGCAAGCTTATGGTAGTGTCATTCTATTGTGTTGATTTGAGAGTTATCTTATATGCATACCCTATACACTTGGAGTGAATGAGCGCACTTTAAAACTGCGAGAATTGTCGATTTGGTATATGCTGATTTCGATGAGGTTATTGAGGAATTTGGGATGCCGTTTTTGGTATGAACTGTTGTGATTTGCTTCGTATCTTGATTGTACTTCTGAGTTAATTATGCTTGAGGGCAAGCATAGTTCAGGTGTGGGGAGATTGATAGGGTGCATTTTAATGGGGCATTTTGGACATTAATGCACGTTTATTTGACTAAATATTTTCAGTAATTGGATGGATTCTACTAATATTTTGTGTTGGTGCCAATTACAGGACTGGATGCTGAAAAGTGCTTAAAATCAAAATTTAGAAGATTTGTCGTACGTGGGGCACTCCAAGCAGTGGGGTCCGCTTGAGAAATTGAAGAAACTTAATTGTAATAGACTTTATTTTATTTTAATTTTTTTATTGAGAGGGAAAAATTAATTTCTCGCGTGGCTTAGGTTTTACGGCAGTTCTGGCTTTTGAATTGTAAGGGGGCCGTAACTGACAAGGGAGGTTTCTTTTTCCTGGTGTTAAAAAAGCTTTCCTCTCGTAGCTTTTGGGGGGGGCAATTAGAAGGGAGGCCATTATTATTGACTTTTGGGACTCAATGCTTTATACCTGGCTTTGACAGAAATCAAGCAATTGGAAAACCTTTCTCGTATGATTTGTGTTTGGCAACTAGGAGAAGCAAACGGAGCCGTAATTGTTGACCTTGTGATTGCTCCTTCCTCATTGTGTATTGCATAGAAGAAATACAAAGGGAGCAATCTCTCGTATGCCTTGTAAAAACCATTAGAGAAACAAAGCCAAAAGCTAGCCGCCGTTGTTGACTTCTGGCTCTGGTTCTTTTACTTTGTTTTGATACAATTGGGGAAAGCAATCAGGATCATCCGCATGTCTTGGATTGGAAACAATTGATAGGAACAAAAGTCCTTTGTACGTTTCTCCTATTGCCGCCCGAAATTGAGAGGTCCGATTCGGTGACTTTTCCCAATTCTCCACGCGCGGTTTGTCCTCCAATAACGGAGGGCTAATTCTCTAATTCTAGTCAAGGGGGCAACTGACGAATTGGTTCAGTAATTACTGTGAGATCTAAACTATTTTTAATTATTTTCTTCATTTATTGATATTCATATGCTCCTTGATTTTAATTGTTATACCCTTGTGTATGATTGGTTAGTGCACAATAATTAATTATTAATATAGGCATTTTACTAAATATGGGTAATTGAATCCGTAATTATTCGTTATCTCTATCTTAGTAGCAACTGGCGTAATCGGGTTTATGTTAGGGGAACATATGATCTAACTTAAACGAACCCTCGTAGCGTGTTTGTTGGTTAGGATTGGGTCTTTCTAATTATTAATGCAATTTAGAAATTAAATCCTACGGTCGTACCTAGGGTTGTTTTTGGGTTAGAGAAATAGTTAACGGTCGTACCTTAGCTATTGAGAAATTAAGGAAAGGTTGGTTGTTTATCGCGTCCATGACAACTATAACTAATCTATTAATAAATGTTGGAATTATCTGTGAATCGATGATCAGTGCATGAACAATTTCTGAAGTGTACCCTTGGCTAGAGTTTCTCTAATTATTTCTTTTAATTAATTATTTTCTGCATTCAATTCATTTAGTTAGCTTTTAATCCCAAAACCCCCTATTAATTTTGACTTGAAAAGAAACAAATTTATCGCTAGTCCCTAAGGAGACGACCCTGCTTACCACTGTCTACTAGTTAGTGAGTTCAGTTAAATAATTAATTCAAGTATATCGGATTAAGCAAACTCTTCGGGAACAGGGTGAATCAAGTAACCTATTGCACACCTAGAGTCCCTGCTCCAGTACTAGAATTGATTATTGACTGCTTCAGGTGGTAGTTAGGTTTTATTCATTATTATTGCATAGGTTTGGCACCTGTCAGTAGCATTCAACTTCAGGTTAACATTTACCTCCACCAAATCTATTCTACCTGGTGCTACAGAATTACTTAACAAACAGTGAATCTTAAAAGAAAAAGAAAAGTGGTTGTTACAATATTATTCCCATTTGCTCAATATCCTCCAATTAATTCCTTTGTAGTTTTAAATAAAGTAGAAAATCAATGAAAAGCAAATTCACACCATTGAGGCAAAACACTTTTATATAGGTTTTGATAAGAAACTTATATTTATTCTTGGATAATTTAATTCAAGGCAGTTGGTGTGAAAATCCACCTAGCTACTTGTCTTTTAACTATGTTTTTACTCTCGGAAACCAAATATAGGAAACTAAGTTTTTTTTTCTCAAGTCCCATCTCTCAATTTACCTTGTTCATTTTGAAACCATCTCGTGAGGTACTTGATTTCTTTCTTAGCTTCTAATTATGGTGAACAAACCTTCACAAAATATTTTTTCAGACCACTTTTCTGCAAATTCGTATTACATATTCAATAAAGTAAAAAAAAAAGTCAATATCATGATTCATTTTGAAGAATCTTGGGTAATGCATTAAAAAAACTGATCTTGAACAAGTAGACGTTTCAAGTTCAGGAAACACGTGCCAACCATAATTGTTAAGTTATAAGTGACAAAGAAAACACGCATTATTTATTTATTTTTTTCCTTAACAAAATATAGAGCTTTTAATACTAGAACAAAGAAAACGTGTAAACTATTTTCCAAGAATTAATTTTCCCTTTGCTTCATTTTATGCTCAGTGCTCTCTTTCAAATCCACCATTTAAACTCGATAACTTAGAATCTCTAAAAAAAACCTGTCTTACAAGCTATGGAGGTAGAATTTCGAGTATTGTCTTTCTTTTTTTCTTTTATAGGAGAATATTTTCTTTAGAGGGGAATGGTTTATCCAGTTAAATCAAGATGCATCGTTAGAAAATTGAAATATTATTTAAAATAAATACTGTAGTGCTTTTGTAATGTATTGTATGTGAGATAAAAAGGTGATTGGAAATATAAAAATGTGGATTGGAAAATGTGTTTATGATACAAGTGAAATATTATTTGAAAAAATTTACTATCGAAACAAACCCTTTAATTTCCTGCTGCAACATGAGGCATCATGGACTTTGGTAAGTACGATTATTGTTTGTTGCAATCTGTTTATAAGATTACGATACACGCATAAGAATTTAAATTCATATAATAAAATACAATTAATAGAATTTGGGACATGTATAATACAAAATATTATATGCACATGTATTGTATAGATTTTTTTTTATCAAAAGGACGTTCAAAAGTTCGGCAGAAAAATACATGTTTGCCAAAATTTCGCATATAAGATCATATGTAAATAGTACGAATATATTTGAATGTTATTGAATTAAAAATATGATTATAATTACTATATATATATGTATTTTAAAGAGAATGTTACATTTATACCAATTTTATCTCTTATCCTTGCATGACATTAAATTTATTAAAATTTTATCATTTTATTACCTATATATATATCTATCTACCAAATTATGTTATACGTCGTGGTAATTTTTGTATAACTAGAAAAATAAGTTAGTGTTCTTACTCAAATTTTAATTTTTTCAAAAAATAAAGTCCAATTCGTGAAGTATAATACGTAAATGTTTATTACGTTTTATGCAGTTAACTTTTTAAAAATCATTTGAGATTGCATGGCTTCTGCTGTTGCTCTTATACAGTCAACATTTTAGATTCCAAGTATGAACTTGATTTAATACAATTATTTGAGTTGGGTTGATTACTAGGCCAAAAGTCTACAGCCGACTTCAGATTTATTTTTGTCATATCAAGATGAAAGCTACATGAAGTAAAACTTGTAGCATTGCACGTCTTTTCAGCCGGCCGTGTCAACGTCGAAGGCTTGAAAGCTTTGAAAAGCTGTTGCATTTACGCGGAAACATAATTTATGATCCACGCAATAATACAGCGGCAAAGAATGATTAAGAGAGCAAAAAAAATTAGAACTATAACTAGTCTAATTTAGCGGGTGTTATAAGTCCAAGAACATCATACAAAATTGAATTCCAACTTCCCAATTTTCAACTTTTTTATCTGTACCTTGTTTATCCTTGACTAGTACCCTGTTTGGCTAAGTGAGTTTTTGTCAAATTTGTCATTGGTTACAATAATTTTAAAAAATTTTACAAATTTTTTAAATTACATATTTCAAAATACCTAAAACATACAAAATTTTTTTTCCCTTCCTACTTTTTTCTTCCACCTCAACCCACCACCACCTCGGTCACCAATCAAGACCGGAGCCTACCACCTTTTTGTTTTCTTTCTCTTCTTCCTCTCCTCCTCCCGCCTTTAAACAAGTTATTGAATATTGAATTTGGAGGAGGTGGTGGTGGAGGCAAAGGTGGTGATGCAATGCTGGAAAGGGAATATACAAGTTTGTTTTTGCTACTTTTCTTGAAAAGATTTTGAAAGACCCGAGAAGAAGGAAGTGGTGGCGGCGGCATTGGTGGTGGAACGTCTATTGTTATTTCCTTGGCCATTCCGTTTTTACTTCGCTGGAGCTTCTGCTCCGGAATTTGCTCAAACTCTAGAGGTGGTGGTGTTGACGGCGGCGAAGGAGGAGGGAGAGGGGAAGGTAGTGCTGTTAATCGAGTCGAGTCGAATCGAGTATTTAACTGCCGAGCTCAACTCATGTTTAGCTCGAGTCAGGCTCGAACTTGCTTGACTAATCGGACCAGCCTTGAAGTGTGTTCGAACTCAACTCGCCAAATGAGACATGTGACTCAAGCTCGAGCTCTACTCGTTTATCACAAACGAGTCGAACTCGAGGTCGTGCGAATTGATCACAATAAAAATATGTAATTTTCAATTTTATTCTTTTGACGTATGAAATGGCATATATGCCCTTCCTTATCGAGCTCAAGTGAGCTACTGAAATAACAAACTATTCGATCTTACTCGGCTCGTTAATTAATTGAGTAAATTTCTAGTTCGAATTCAACTCGTTGACTAAAATTGACAAGTCGAGTTCGAGTCTTATCGAGTTGAATTCAATCGAGTTTTTCGAATTGCTTGCTTTGTTTAACAGCTCTAGGAAGGGGGAAGGGGAGAAGAGAAGGAGAGGGGAGGAGAGAAGCAGAGGGAGAGGGAGAAGAGGGGAGAGAGAAAAAAACAAAAAAAAAATTGTTTCTGTTGTTGCTTGTTTTGGCTGGTAGGGAGAGGTGGCGAGGGAGGGAGAGGGGGAAGGGGAAGGGAGAAGAAGAGGAGAGGAAAGAAAAGAAAAAGACAGAAAGAAAAAGAATAGGAAAAAAAAGAGAAAAAGAAAAGGAAAAAAAAGTTTCCATCTATACAATTTTTCTTACAACTTCTACCATAAGTTACAGTAAACTGTTAGACAAACATCCAAAAAATTCATTTGCAAAATGGGGATATTAAACTACTACATGAGTAAAGATTGCGAGAAGAATAGTGAGATTCATCAAATAAAGGGTGCAGAGAGGCAAAAAAAAGAAACAAGGACAGAGACTATTTTACTTTAATATTTTTTAAATGAGAAATTTTGAATTTAAAACCTCCTACTTATAGGCACTCTCATCTTACCATCCAATTTAACTCTAATCATATAGTCGTAGCGTTGTAATTAATCATTTTTCTTAAACTAATTTATCTTTCATATCATGTTGCTCACCTAATGCATAACAATGACAACAGCATGATATGCACCTCACAGTTATTGGTGTGTAAATTATGGATTAGGCCTCACAAGTTGCAATTCAAATCAGTTTACCCCTAAGGTGTAAATAGGCAAAGATACCGTGTAAATAAATTTGGACAGGATATAAACTAGTAGTATTGTGGTGGAACTTGTCCTCAATTGGTCTCAAATGGAACTTGTGAGACCTGCAATCCATAAATTATCATGAGCATTTAGATAGCAAGACTCCAACTGGAACCAACGTCCTAGTTCTTTTCAGTTGGGTCGGCTGCTTCTTTCATAGTTTAAATAGTTTTGGACTATTCAGAGTCTATAGAACAGGGATTTACTGCCAACAGATATTTGGTTGAATGGGATTATTGTCAATCTAAGAGTAAAATACGAGTGATCAGAATATTTGGTTAAATGAAGTTTTTGTCATCAATGGTTTCCTTCTTGCTTCTGATACAGGTTTTTAATCTGATAATTCCAGCTGCAAGTTTGTCTGGCAATGAAACTGATTTGCTTGCGCTCCTGGATTTCAAGAATCAGATTTCTGATGATCCAAATGGAATCCTGAAGTCATGGAATGCTTCTAAACATCACTGCCAATGGTTTGGAGTGACCTGTGGCCAAAATCAGAGAGTTATTGGCTTGAATCTATTTGGACAGAGCTTGGTCGGGTCAATATCTCCTCATGTAGGGAATCTCACCTTCATGAACTTCATTAACCTCAGAAACAACAGATATTTTGGTGAAATTCCCAAAGAAGTTGGTCGCCTGTTTCAGCTAACATATCTCAATCTCACAAATAATTCACTCGGAGGAGAAATACCGGTCACTCTCAGCAACTGCTCACGGCTGAAGACGATAGATATTTTAAGGAACAGACTAGTGGGCAATATTCCATTTGAACTTGGCTCCCTGAAGAAGCTTAAGAGCCTTTTCCTTGGTAGAAACAATTTGACTGGAGAAATTCCAAAATCAATTGGGAACCTTACGTCCCTGACTCAAATCTATTTGTCATACAACAATTTGGAGGGACATTTACCAGAGGAGTTGGGGCAATTAACAAGCTTATATTCGATAGGCATCGATGTAAATTTCCTTTCAGGTACCATCCCTGCCTCTCTTTACAATGTCTCTTCTGTTGCTGGCACTTCACTTTCATCAAATTCACTTGAGGGGCAGATTCCGGACAACATGGGGCTTACACTACCAAACATTCAGGAGTTCTTGATTGGTGGAAACCAATTCAAGGGGACTATTCCAGTTTCCCTTGCCAATGCTTCTCTGCTTGCCAAACTTGACCTTGTTAGCAACAAATTCAGAGGACAAGTACCAACTAACCTTGGAAAGCTACCAAATCTTTATTGGCTAAATTTTGCTGGTAATTTTCTAGGCAGCAATTCTACTGGGGACATGGATTTCATTGCATCTTTATCCAACTGCAGTAACCTACAATCTCTTTTATTTAGTCAAAATAATTTTGGAGGCACTTTGCCTGATTCCATTGGAAATCTCTCTAATACTCTCCAGCAAATAGATCTTGCATTGAATCAAATTTCAGGGGAAATTCCAACAGGGCTTGGAAATCTGGCTAACTTATACTTGTTAGGCATGGATCACAACCTCTTTTCAGGTTCTGTACCAAGTTTTTTTGGTAAGTTTCGGATGTTGCAGAAGTTGTTCCTAAATAACAATCAGCTCTCGAGCCAGATACCGCCTTCCCTTTTCAACATGACCTCTCTGTATGGTCTGTATTTATCTGAAAACAGATTGGAAGGCAATCTGCCATCACTTATAGGTAATTCTCAATCCTTACGAGAAATGATCCTTTCAAAGAATAACCTGAATGGCAGCATACCTTTAGAGACATTCAGTTTCTTGTCCTCATTAACATTACTCAACTTGACACAACCTTTTTTCGGGATCTCTTCCTTCTGAAATTGGGAAATTAACGAATATCTATTTTTTGGACATTTCCTATAACCAATTTTCTGGAGAAATCCCAGAAACAATAGCCGACTGTACAAGCCTAGAGTACATTTACATGCAAGGTAATTCTTTCCAAGGAGAAATCCCACAAAGTCTGGCTTCTGTAAAAGGCATTCGAGTTTTGGATCTTGCACAAAACAACTTAACGGGGCAAATACCTAAAGATCTAGATATGCTTCCGTTTGTCCAACTGATGAACTTGTCTTTTAATGCCCTTGAAGGTGAGGTACCGACGGTAGGATTTTTTTCCAATGCAAGCTCATTATCATTGATAGGAAACAGTAAACTTTGTGGTGGCATACCTGAACTGAAGCTGCCATTATGCCCTGAAGAAATAAAGAAGAGGAGAAAGCCTCTTGCACCAGGATTTATTGTCTTGATTGTTGTCTTCAGCTTGATTGTTGTAGCATCAGCCACTTTTTGCCTAATATATGTCAGAAGAAAAAGAAGAACATCCTTCATTGAAACAGATAACTTTTCAGGGATCTCTTATCATGAGCTTCATCAAGCAACAAAAGGATTTTCAACTGCAAACTTGATAGGTTCCGGAAGCTTTGGATCTGTATATAAAGGAAAACTACCATTACAGGGAGAAAGGTCAGTTGCAGTTAAAGTCCTTGACCTGCAGAAGAATGGAGCTTGCAAGAGCTTTTTGGCTGAGTGCATAGCATTAAGAAACATTAGACACCGAAATCTGGTTAAAGTCTTAACTTGCTGCTCCGGTTATGATTTTAATAGAAGGGAATTCAAAGCTCTAGTCTACGAGTTCATGTCAAAAGGGGACTTGGATGTGTGGTTACATAAGAGCTCAGATGAGATGAATAATTCCAACAGGGCTTTGAGTTTGCTTCAGAGGTTAAATATTGCAATTGATGTAGCTTTTGCTCTGGATTATCTTCACAACCAATGTGAAACTCCAGTTGTTCACTGTGACCTGAAGCCATGTAATGTCCTTCTTGATGATGATTTAACTGCTCATGTGGGAGATTTTGGATTGGCAAGACTTCTGTATGAAAACACAAGCAATCCTTCTCAACAGCCAACTAGTTCCATTGGCATCAAGGGATCACTAGGCTATGCAGCTCCAGGTAACAATAATTTTTCAATGCATTCTGAATTCTTAATATACCCCAACCTTTATTTTTTAAAAAATTTTAATTTAAAAATTTGTTATTATTATTATTATTATTATTTTGGGCCAGGGAGGTTGATATGCCTTGTATTAGTGATACAATTAAGATGAATAGGTATTTCAATGGATAGAACTTGGCTCCTTTGATTCAGATTCATACCCATTAAATTTAGTTTAGCCCACACCTAAACCCAAATCCTTATGTGTTTGAAAAAGTAAACCCAAACCTGGACCTTCATGAGTTTGGGTATCCATTGAATATCCGTGAATATTTTATTGAACATATAATGACGAATTAAAGTAAAAAATATTTTAAAAATATATGGAGATAAAAAATAACATAAATACCATCCACCTTTTGTTTTTAAATAATAAATTTAACATTCAAGAGATGGTGTTTTCTTAAGTTAAGTGTATAGACTTTAATATAATAGTCATGAAGTCTTGCTGTATTCAATTTAATGGTCATAGAATATTACTCTTGTCATCCTGAAATGTTTGTCGCATCTCGAAATTCCAACTTTTTAAGAATAGTGGATTGATAGTAATGTCAGTCAATTTATTTTTAAAATTACCCTCAAAAATTCAAATTTTAAATTTGAATTTATTATGAAATATAGATAAAGGTGGGGATAACATTGAACAAAAAAAGATCAAAAGTAACTTTGACTTTAATAAGATGACAAACATTTTGAGACATTCTAAAATGGAAAGTATGATGCTTTCAATGGGACGAAGGAAAAAGAAGATTTTATAAAATACACACACACACACACACACACACACACACACACACACACACACACATATATATATATATATATATATAATTTATACATAGGTCTATGTAGGATTTGGTTTGAATATGGGTTTGGATATGGATCACAAAAAACTAGACGCTACCTAGACTCGTGACTCTCTTATAGGGTTTGGGTCTAGGTAGAGTTTGAGTTTGAAAAATTAAACCCAAGTCCTACCCAAGTATATTGGGTTTAGATTGGATTTGGATAAAATTCGACTTATTGATATATCTAGATAAATGATAAACCAGGACATGAAGATAGAAGAGATTTTTTGAATTTTAAATGAAAAATTGGCCTACTGCTTGCTGAGTCCATATTAATTAGTTAGAAATAGTGAACGAAAATGAATTCGAGGATTGCATTTGTTATTTTCTTTTTGGCTCTTAAGTTGAAAAGAAAAAAAATGCTAAAGTAATGATAACAAGAGTATATAAAGCCTGCACTCTAAATATTCATTTATAAGTACATTATAGTAAATTTGTTGTTGGAAAAAGAGCTGTAAAGTTAATTTCTCTATCGTATATTCTTCTCTTTGTGATTTTTCAGTGTTTTGAAAATCTGATTGGACCAGTTGATTCGATCGATTGAACTGTGAACTGACCATGGCTGCAGTCTGATTCTATATTTAATTTAGAGAGTCAAATGAATCAATCAAATTTGATAAGAACCAATCGAACTGATCAAAACTAGTAAAAAATCGGCCATTGAGCTAGTTTTTTACTAAATATTTATTTTCTTTTTTATGTGTTAATTTTATCTAAGTAATTTAATATTAAAATACTTTTGAAAATTATAAAATCATTGAATAGGAGTTGAACTGGTCGAGCTAATTGAACCATGATCCGAAAGCTCATCTAATTCACTTATCGGTTTGGTTTTCAAAACATTGTGATTTATAGTAAATCTAATTCAAGCTTGCTAATCTCTACTTGCATACTGAAAAATCATAAGCATATTACTGTTCATTTGTAAGTTTAATTTTTGTACTTTATCCAAGTTTGTAAGTATAACTTTCGTTATTTCCATGTCTTGATGCCCTAAATTAAAAGGAAACAGAAATTATATTTTGTTAGCTAGGCAAAACGAGTGGGGCTGCTCGTTTTGCTTACTCGAACCAGTATCTAATAGACAAATGAAAAATAAGGGCGAAGGGTAAGCCTGTTCCATTACCCTCATCCAAACGCAAGATTCTGAAATCCAAATTCATTGACCCAGAAAAACAAATGGGTCAACGGTCACTGGTTTAATAGTTGGGCTGACCGTTATTAACCCGTGATATCATAAATATTATTAATAAATATTAAACATCTAAAAAACAAACAAATATTTGCAGAAATTTAAGTCATATTGTTAAATATAATCACTTCAATTCTCATTCTATTATTCTAAGTAGTATTATTTGTTTAAAACTCAAAAATAACTTTTATAAATTAAAGAATTTTAAATTGTATTATTTCATATATTTTTAATTTTCCTAAATTATATGAGTACTAGTTTATATGATAATAATTCAAACACATAAAAGGCATTAACAAATAAATGAAATGCATTCAAGATTTAAAAAAACTAATACAGTCAATTATATGTTATAAATGTTAAACAAGAGTTAATATGTTATTATGGAGGAAAGAGAGAAATGAGTAGAATAAGGCAATAATTGTTGTTGTCTAATTAATTGGAAATAATTATGCATGGGTAATTGATAAAATATTAAATTTGGAACGTCATTAATGAGAGTAGTTGATCAAATTCAAAATTGTTGGCTTAATTAAGGTTGGATCTTGATTCTCACAAAACCATTCTAGGTCAATGGTTCAGTGGTTGAACCGGACGATTCAACTGATTTAAAGGCAAATCGATACAAACTGGTTTTTTAAGCAAACCTAGATCGGAAAATAGGCCGGTCGACGGTTCGACAGGTACCACCGGCTGGTCCGAGCTAGGTTTTAAAATATTGTCAAAATGGATAAAGACTCCTGTCTCTCTAGGTTTGAGTTAACTCTAAACTTTTGTGAAAAACTAATTTTTGGAAGTGTTATTACCACTTTTATCCTCTTAATGTTTTGTGTTACTATCAATTTTCCCTTAACATTATTATTTAGTCAGTTTACCTCCAAAGCTACTAGTCAAATGTAATGGAGTTTGTTAACTAAAATGAAATGACATGTTTAATCCTTAAAATATTTTTATCACTTTACCCTTATAAACTATAATGTTATTATGAGTTTATCCGATTGATGTTATTTTTAAGGCACTTTACGTCACTTTTAAAAATAACTTAGCATATTAAAAAATTTTGAGATGAAAGCACGTTCTTCTCTTATATAATTAAAAATTCAAAAACTTGGAATACTCCTCCTTTGTTAATCCTTTTTAGTACCATGGGAAAATGTCAAAAGTGTTCTTATCCTTTTTTTTGCACTTTATTAATACTAAGAGAGAGAGAGAGAGAGAGAGAGAGAGAGAGAGAGAGCTCAATTCGAAAAAAAAAAGAATAATAAAGAATCTAATATCCTCATTGTTTTGAATCACTTCTTACTATTGCACCCACCACCCAACTTCAACTCTAATGACCTTAAAGTAACCATAATATTAGATTCTTCTTAATTTTCTTGAGTGTTTTTGTCTCCTCTCTGCCATTTTTTTTCTTTTCCTTGGTTTTAATAGGAGTGAAAACAAAAATTAGAAAAACCATTTTACATTTATTTTCTTGGCACTCTTATTGTGGAAAAAGGAGAACAACCATTTCAAAATTTTTATTTTTTTAAATTATATATAAGAAGGTTATTTCCATCCAAAAAATTTTAGCATGTTGAGATGGGTTAATAATGGGGTAAAACGCCTATGGACTAATGTCTGGGGGGGGGGAGGTAAACTTGTAGTAGCTTTATAGTTGAAGGAGTAAAATGATAATAATAATATACTTGTGCTACAGGAGAGGAGAATTTTTGTTGAAAATTTCTCAATCATGCTAGCTTGGCATCATGTTGGGGGTAAAGTCACTAAAAAAAAAAACCCGAATAAACTGATAATGGTGCTATAGTTTAAGGAAGTAAAATGGATAACCCTTTTTAAAAAATCAAAATCAGAATCCAAAAAATAGATATCTTGTAACTTCTAATTTTTCGTTTTTCAGTTTTTAAAAAGCCTAAAGATGAAAGAATTGAAAACATCACACATAATTTTAAATTTGAAGTTAAAATCAAGCCTAAAAAGTTACAGTACTAAAAGCTGGTGAATTTTCTTGAAAGCTGATGGATACTATCGAGAACATGGATTTTCAAGTTGATGTTACACATTAAGATTTGGTGATAGAGTCCGATAGATCTGACCCTCGGAACAAAAATTTTCGAATTTATTATTATTATTATTTTTTTTAAGAGCAAAGTCAAGTGACCAACTTATCCAGTTGGGAGTTTTGTCGATAAACAACCATATCAAGTTTTAAAACAATAAAAACTACACTAGAGGGGGACTTGCAATGCAAAAGGAAATGGCTATAAAAACAAAAGTTTCTTGTTTTTGTTTGTTTCCAACCATTAAAGTTAATATATTTTACTTATAAATATGAAAAATATGTATATAATTAATAAAGCTTCCTGGCATGTTTATGTACTAGTATTTCATCTTGGAAATAATGACTAGAAGGGCTAATTGTACTTTTCAGAAGGCTACTGTCAAGTTCCTTGAACCTTGAAACATTCATTCTATTGTATAACGACCAAATCTATTCCTGTAATTAATTAGTAGAAACAGACACTTATAGATGTTTTTGCAGCAAGAAAAAATTTATTCTAATTTATCATGTTGTTCTCACCCAATTCTATGTAAAAAGTGTTGACATATTAACTACATTATCTCATTCATAGTGTACATTGAGTCTTGACTTGTTCTTAAAAAAAAAAAAAAAAGATTGGGTTTGTTGGCAGGGAGTTTCGTCCATTTATAAGGGGAAACTCTGCCAAAATTTTTAATAAAAAAGAGATTCTCATTAAAAAAAAAAAAGAGAAATTAGGCAGAGATTGAGTCTTGACTTGTTCTTAAAAAAAAAAAAATAGTGTACATCTAAAAGGTTAATTTTAAATGTACTGACAGTGTATATACTAGTGAATATGAATTCATACCATCTACTTTTAATTTGAATTCAGACTTCAATTTTTGTATATGTGACATATATGTATGTTCATTAGTATATACATTGCTAGTATTTACGGCATTAATCCGCATGTAAATAGTACATCTACGTTTATTGGGTTTGTCAATTAATTATTTCACTTATCATGATATTGACAATGCTGTAGAGTATGGGATGGGAAGTCAAGCATCAACCCTTGGTGATGTATATAGTTATGGAATCCTTTTGCTAGAGCTCTTGACAGGACGGAGACCAACCGATCAACTTTTCATAGACGGGCTTAATCTCCATGAATATGTTAAGCAAACATTCCCACAAATATGGGATATTGTGGATCCAGTTCTTTTTACCGAAGAAGAAGAAGGAGGAGGAGATGCAGAAGAAGATGATCAACCTGAAATTACAGAAAATAACAAAAGCACAGCAATAGAGAAAGAAGTTGAAGAAAATACAAGAAGCCCGGAAATAGAAGGTGAAAAGCTTAAATGCCTTCGATCATTGTTTGCCATTGGACTTTCATGCTCTTCAAAATTACCTAGAGAGCGAATGGATATGAAAGATGTTGTTAAAAAATTATCATCATCAAGAATGTTCTTGTACGGAACAAAATAACAAGTTGAACTTGATTATATGGAATAATTAAAGGTGTCTCATATAGAAATTTACTTCACTTTCAAGTTATTTTTTCAAGAGATTAGGTGCTTATAATTTCTAAGAAACTTATTAGGTGTTTAGTATTGAAAAATTATTTCAAATGCTATCTACGATATATTTTGTTATTGTTTTTGATCAATAGCTTAGCTGATCTTTGAACAACAGTACATTCGTGCAGTGCTGAATCTTATTTATTGTTTGATTATGAAAAAGAATTTTTTAGAGTGCCACAGCAATGCAATTTAAATGTGAACAATTAGATGAGAATATGAGTCCACTCCTTGTTCTCCTATGTGTTTTTTCATTACCCTCATTTCATCGTAAAGAAATCTCAAACTTTCCACGTCTAATTCAGCCATGCTACTTGATTAATTTGACTAATCATATCGTGGATAATATCTCGTGCTCTGACAACAATTTGTGATGATTCGCATCTCCTGTACACTTTTACCAATTTGCTATTTGTTAACAAAGTCTAGTGGATAACAATGCACTTTTAGGATGACACGTGAGATTGAGACATATGCAGTGCAACCAAAAGAAAAGCCACCACATGCATGGAAACACTTGCGCAACCAATTCTAAAATTTTCCCTTAATGTTATAGACTTATTTTGTATGGTTAAAGTGCGAAATACTGGACATCTTAGGGGCTAAATTATCATACACTGAAAGTAATTTGTTTTCAATAGGAAATAGCAATGAAAATTCTTTAAGATGAAATGAAAATTTTACCCGTACCTTAACACGGTCTTATTTATTTATTTATTGTGAATTTATACAGATATGAATAATTTAAATATAAAAATTAACAACAGTTCTGTATGTTCATTCATATTACTTTTAAAAAATTAATGTATTTTAAATGTTCAATTATTTACTAATTTTTTAAAATTTGTTTACATACTTTCACCATAATATAATAGTATACATCAAATAATACTCCCCATATCCAAAACTTGGTAGATATTCTTTTAGATAATTTCAATTTTTATAATAACCATAAATCTAGAATTATATATTCATACTTAATTAAGTAGAAAAGATCCATTAATCCTTTTTTCTTCATCAATAAATATTCAATTTCCAATAATATTGGTAAATTTATCGGTGTAACAGTTAATTCTCTTTTTTACACTAAATTAATTCAAAATTAAGAAGAGATGATGAATAATTTGAATACTAATCAATGATATGGCAGTGAAAGGAAGTAATTAATGGGATATATAAGATTTCAATAATTGTGATTTAAAAAGGTTTTACTATACTTCTATGTAATAATTTGGTAGAAAGCAGATATCATTAAGATAAGATTAGTTATTTTTAAAAGTTATTTTAAAATTAAAGATAATTTTTAAACATATAATATAATCATTGTAATAATTTGATAGAAAGCAGATATCGTTAAGATAAGATTAGTTATTTTTTAAAGTTATTTTAAAATTAGAGATAATTTTTAAACACATAATATAATCAAAATAGGAATCAGTATGAGTAAAACTCAAGTGACCCATAACTCGTTAATTCTCTTCAATTAGGCATGCCACATAGGAGTGAGAAACATTGCGATTAAAATAGCTACTTTCATATATATATATATATGAATCCTATTTGGATTATATTATGTGTTTAAAAAATTATTATACCGGCAGCAAGGATGGGAAATAACAAAAGTTGGGAATAGGTTCTTCCAGAAACATGTCATTATCAGGTTGGGAAACGAAGCAGATTTCCATAGAATCTGGTCTAGGGGGATTTGGTACGCCTTTGGGTGTCCAATGAGAGTCTTTAAATGGACTCCTACTTTTCATGTGTATAAGGAGCCGTCAATGGTTCCAGTGTGGTTCCAATTGTCTAAGTTGCCGCTGCACTATTTCAACAAGAACTGTTTATTCCAAATTGTGAGCATCTTGGGTGTTCCATTATGTATGGATGCAGCCACTACTGCTGGAACACGCCCTAGTGTTGCTAGGGTATGTGTGGAAATTGATTTGTTTAAATCTCTTCCCCATCGTGTTTGGATTGGTAATGGTGACTGTGATGGCTTTTGGTAGCCTTTAATTGCTGAATCCATTCCATTTTACTGCGCGCATTGTTTTCATATGGGGCACAATCAAGACTTTTGTCGCATCCTTAATCCTAATCTTAAACTAACGAAACCTGAGGTAAAGGTCGTTGGTGAGGTTAAGCACAAGGTGCAAACGCAGTATCGTCCTAAAGCAGATAAAGGGGAGGGACCGAGTTCGATTGCTGAGGATGAGAGGGCTAAGCTTTTTGGGCCTGATTCGGATGTAGTCACTTTTTCTATGACTGGATAGCAAACTATTGTGCCAGTTTCTGATGCGGTTGCTGCTGGAGAACAAAATTCTGGTGTGATTTTGGATGTTTAATTGTCAGGACAGTCTTCAAAGCTTGCGACTGTTACTGGTTCTATTGTTACAGTGGTTGAAGTTGTTGCTCCTATTGCTGGTTCTAGATGTAGCATTGCTCGAGTTTCTTCTTTGCATTCTAGTGATCAAAATTTGCTATCGGTTGCTAAAATTCCAGTCTCTCTTGCGAGTTCTACCTCACCTGTGTCTGCACAGATGGTATCACCTACTACGCATGGTCTGCAGCCTAGTGCTCAGCTTAGCATTGATCAGCAAGAAGGGGAGTATGGTTTTGCATCGGAGAAAGGGGAGTTTCAGCATGCGGAGGATGCAGTGGGCAGCTTATCTCTGCGGCAGAATTCTAGATAGCAACACAAAGCGCCAACCTTTTCAGTGCTTGACATTTTTCATTTGGACCCGATAATTTAGCAGGTACAAGATAAATTGCAACAATAGGAAGGCTTCCAGTTGGTTAGCCAACCAAAGGGTAAAAGGGCTAAGTTTCCTTCGGATCGATCTTTACGCTCCAAGAGTAAGTTGTCCAATAACTCTTTCGCTACTTTATCGGATGATTAATTATCTTTTTGGGAATATACAAGGTGTGTCTCGTGCCCCTAATCTTCATAGGTTGAAACATTTAATACATCAACATTCTCTTCAAGTTGTAGCTTTGTGCGAACCACAATTGACTCCTATCCAAGCTAATATTCAGGCCATCCAGGTGAAGCTTCAAATGGATTCGGCTATGGTCAATAGTAGTGGATCTGTGTGGATATTTTGGTCTAATTCGGTTTCTTGTGATTTCGTTGGTGATTCTGACCAGCACTTGTTTATTAAAATTCAATCTCAGCTTTTAATTGCTCCGATATTATTTTCTTTTATTCATGTTAAATGGACTATTGAAGATCGGGAGGTGCTTTGGCCAGCCTTGATGAGTGATAGATCGAAGTCTCTACCTTGGTTTATTGTTGGTGATTTTAATGTGATTATGGCAGAGGAAGAGAAGTGAGGGGGTATGCCTTTTAGAAATTGGGAAGGTGTGGAATTGATGTCTTTTATGTCTATGATTGGCTTGATGGATGCGAGTTTTCAGGGTCCAAATACACATGGTGTAATAATAGGTAGAGTCGTGCACGTATTTGGAAGCGTTTAGACAGGGTGCTTCATGATCAATCTATTTTGGAGGGTGAATTCTTAGTTTACGATGAAAAAAAAAGGTATTCTACAACTAGGGCGGTTTTTGGAGATTGTTCTTGAAATGGGGTCTTCGCATTCGTGGAATGTGAGGTCTGTTTTAGAAAAAAAAAAAAAAACCAGAAAAGTGAGTCAAACAAAGAAACAGAGCTGTCGAACAGCAAAACAAAGAAAATAGAGCCGTCGAGAAGGCAAAACAAAGAAAACAGAGCTGTCGAACAGCAAAACAAAGAAAACAGAGCTGGGTTCTGCACATCGAAGCATCCAAAAGACCGGAGCTGGCCACCATTTGTCCTATTTTGTGCTGCCCAAACGCCGAACGGCAGAAATAGGAGGAGCGGCGCCACACGGCTGAGCGGCGCCACCATCTCTGTTGTTCTGCTCCGCCGGAAGCCACGCCTCATTCTCTTTCTGCCTCGCTGAAGCAAGCCCTCCAGATTGCAGCCGGTTTTCAGAGCTTCTTCAACCACCAGATTGTCGACCCATTTGCGCCTTTGCCCACCCACTGCCGCCCCATTGCCGACCCAACATTTGCTAGCATTGCCGTCCCATTGCGACTGCCAAACAGCATAAAGGTGAGCCTTTTCCATTTGCAATGCCTCACTTATAGCATTTTAAGTTTAATTAATACTTGAATCCAACGGCAAGTTCAGATTTGTTGTGAAATTTGGATTTAAATTTGATGTGGGTTGTGCTTATTTTTGCAATTTTTGTGGTGGATTTGAGGATATACGTTACATTTTTTGAATTCTTGCAATTTTTCTGTTTCCAATTTGTTGTAGTTGCGCTAATTGTGTCCGTGTGGACAGTGGAGCTGGAAAAAGAAGGAAGTAGTTTTTTGACAAATATTGCAAAATAGTTTAAAGCTAAAACCCCTTTAAGGAAAAAGTCCATTTAATTGTTTCAACTATTTTTTAAAATTTTTTTAAAATTAGAATGAAATTTAGGTTAAACTTATTTTCTGTACATCTAACTCTAAAAAGAAAAGTGGTGCTAGTCTCATTTTATTGTCTACGGCGGATAAAGAGCTAGTGGTACTACGAACGGGTTGGTGTTCATGATTTTTTTGATAAGACATAGGAAATGACTAAATGTTCTAACATTGGACCAACTTGAAATAACGTTTTAAAAAAAAGTCTATTTTTTTGTATTGAAGAAGATAAAAGAAAAAAAAAAGAAAAAAGGGGCAAGTTCCATTTAAAATAGAAAATGGGTTCTAATTAAGGGAATTAAACATGAGATGCAAATGAGAAATGAATTTCTCTATGGCAGCTATGGGTAAATCGTACATTAGAGTTGTGTTCCTAGAGAAGAATTTAGAAAAATAAGGGCCTTGAACTAAAATGGAAAAATCAATTTTGCTAAAATTACAATATATGTTAGCGTGACCCAAAAT